ATATTAACTACCATCACAAGAGCTTGTAAAAAAACTCTAGAAGCTTAAAAGTAGATTCAGATAGAGGAAAATATAGAAAATGTCCAAAAAAAAAACTCTTGAAAACTCCCAAAATAAATTGATGTGTAAACACATTTTAGAAACTTTGTATTGCGAAAATTTGAGATGCAAATAGTATGAATGCATTCATGCTATACATTTGTGCTGGTTGTGTCTTATGTTGTTGTTGCGACAAGTTTTCAAAACGCATTAGACATCAATTATAATGTTTTGGAATTTTCTTGATTTTTTGAATATTTTTCCTATTTTCCTATAGACAAATCTATTTTTTTAAGCTTGTAGAGATATTCATGAGATTTAAATATTTAATTTGGATTTTTATATCTAATAATACAAGACTAGGATTTTTATTGGAGATATTTTTATGGTTTAAAAGATTTATAAAGTATTTATCCGAACTAAAAAAAAGATGAAACCACCCTCGAAACCATCTTAAACCAGAACAGGGAGGCAATTTGAACGATTTTGAGAGTCTAAGAGATATTATGATGTCGGGTTTGGAAACTCAAATAGGAAAATTAGACCACGTTGATATTCCAGAGAGCTAAAAAGGAACCTGTATATTAACTACCATCACACGACTGTGCCCCCCCCCTTTGGGTCTTACTGGGCTTGGGCCTATCTAAAATGGGACAAAATATGGACGTTCAGCCTGTTCGTTTGGCTGTGGTTTGTCGTAAACGATCGTAAATTTCCAGCCGGAACAGTATTTTTCTCTCACACAAACCAGTCAGCAGTACTTCTTCACGAACCAGCAACGATACGAACCAGCCAACCGATGTCTGACCACATAGATCACACAAAACGGGCCGGATACTGGCTCTCCTGTTTGACGTTTCCGTTCCAATCGTAGTGAACTCCATCCATGATCCATGCACCTATCCCTTTCCTGCGCGCCACACGGAGATACAAAAACAAATGGAAACGTGATTTGTCCCATCCATTTCCCCCCATCCCTGTCAGCTTTGTGCCTGTGATTCTTCTGGAGGAATAGGTCGGCAAATGTGACAGCGGTTTTCCCCCCTCCGAATCAGATAGCCTAATTAGTTGCTTAAAACGGTGACGACAAGGAAAGTACACCACCACAACGTAACCAACATATATTGTCAAAAAGAGTTGCCATCAGACACTCAAAGTTACTAAAGACCATTCTTGTCACAAAACATACAAAGATCACCAGAATGTGTCAAATGTTTTTCCCTCTAAAAATACAACATCAATCAAGTGAGTTAATTTCCGGGTGGCTCATGCAATGCTGTCACTCACGCATTACAGGATTGTTTGCTTGGCGACCTGATCTTCCAGGCAGCTCGATCTAGCCTCAAACATCTAAAATCGAACGCCTAGGATCGCTGTGTAACCATGAGGCAAACAGGCTCCATGTTCTTAGACTAATAACCAAACAGACAGGCTCTACATTCTTATAGAGTTATAGTAATAACCAAACCAAGCCCTCTGTGGTCTTCTCCAGCTTCTGCCAAACAGCGCTCAAGTTGCAATGCATGAAAGGGACATGTCCACCTCCGTGTCAGTTCGTGATGGACTTGCATTGAACTGCAACGAATCGTGGTCCGATCGATGTCGCCGCCTCCTAGGAACACTGGAACAGGCACACCATGCCCATTGTAATTTCGTTATCACTTCAGTGGTTGATCAGGCCAGGCAGCAGCAGCAGCAGTAGCAGCTACCGGCGCCATCATTCTGACATTAACACGGAAACTGAGACTTGTTTAGTTCCAAAAAGTTTTTTCAAAAAATGCTACCGTAGCTATCACACCGAATCTTCTGATACGTGCATGGAGCATTAAATGTAGACGAAAAAAAACTAATTGCACAGTTTGGTGGGAAATTACGAGACGAACGTTTTGAGCCTAATTAGTCCATGATTGAATACTAATTGCTAAATAAAAACAAAAATGCTACGGTAGCCAAATTTTCAAAGTTCGGCCAACTAGATAAGGCGGATATTCTGCGCCACTACGAACTTGCTTGCTTGATGCACAATGCAAGTAGCTGTGAATACATCGTTGTCATCTATCCTTGTAGTTGTCGTATAGCAGGAGTAAGGCTCTGTTTGGCACAGCTCTTTGTAGCTCCGGCTTCTTCACTGTACAACACCGTAGCGACACTGTAGCATGGAGCCGGTGAAGCTGCAAATCGTGGCTTCTCCGGCTCCTTCTCTTTCCAGTTCATTTTTCTTCTCGGGAAACGAAATAACTCCTTGCCATAGTGGCAAACAGTGATGCTACAGGAAATGAGAGAGGAGCCGGAGCCCTGGGAGCCATGCCAAACACAGCCTAGGTCTCAAGCAGGTTTATAATTGACTACTCATTTCATGAGACCCTACATTAGATTAATCAAATACAGAAATACTTAGTAGTTCATTTTGGGTAGCTGAATCTGGTCGCCGGGACAGGACTTTCTCTGTCTCTTTTTTCTTTTCTTTTTCAATCCAACAGACACGGGAAAGCTTTAGTTTTTGCTATGAACATTGATCTGCTATCAGCCCCATACCTGTTCAGCCACATTCAAGTGTTCAGTGCCAAGGCCCAGCAATGCTGCAAATGGGCGGGACCTGATCCCAGCAATAAAGCACGCAACCATTATCTCAGGCCTCGAGCACTGAATTCGTACACTTGTCGAAGCGGCAGCGGGGTTTAAAGCGAGATATGACTCGTCAGCGAGGTAGGGAGGGACCGAGAGGAGAGACCCCCACGCCGCACAGGATCATTCGGTGTGTGTGTACACCTTCTTGGTCGTTCTCCCATCGGCTGTTTGACACATAGAATATCAAATATAGATTATTTATAAAATTAAATACATAGATTGAGATTAATTTATGAGATAAATTTATTAAGCCTAATTAATCTATGATTTGATAATATAGTGCTACAGTAAATATTTGCTAATGACAGATTAATTAGGCTTAATAAATTCGTTTAGCGAATTACTGACGAAATATGTAATTTGTTTTTTAATAGGATCCAAACACCTTATGTGACACCCTATGTGACATTCGATGTGATAACTTTTAAACTTTAGTCCCTGCTGAATATGATAGACATACATGTTTTCATCAGAGCCTGTTCACTTGAACTATTTTTCAGCAAAGTCAACCTATTTCAGCTTATTCTTCCTCACAGAACAATATTGAATCAGCCGAAACTAGCTGGCTTATGTACCAGCCGAACATACCTGTCTCTGCTTTTGACAGTGACAGGGACGCATAGATTATTGCTAGTATACATAAACACAAGACATATATTATTATTCAGAGCTAAGCAGCAGATCATCAGTAACGGCCTGTTTAGTTCCACCCAAAACCCAAAATTTTTTACGCAGTATCCATCACATCGAATCTTGCGGCACATGCATGGAGTACTAAATGTAGACGGAAAAAAAACTAATTACACAGTTGGGTGAGAAATCGCGAGACGAAACTTTCGAACCTAATTAGTCCATAATTAGATACTAATTGCCAAATACAAACGAAAGTACTACAGTACCCAAAACCAATTTTTTTCCCAATTAAACAGGCCCTAAAATAAACGCGGCAAGGAAACCCTTCAAGTGTACTCAGCCTGATCCCGTGTGTGTTTTCCGTGTGCATTCACATACTGGAGTACCAAAAAAAAAGGCACAAGGAACTGAAAAAAACAACAACAAAGATGAATCACCTTGGAGGCATGGATCGTAGTCTAGCTAGTATTGATGAAGAAGCCAAGCTATGCCGGGCAAGCCAACGGAAGCTCTCGTCTGCTGGTTTGTTGCCGCGTCGCCCTCGCTCCGTCGTTGCAGCGGCCGCCTCCCATCAACAAATGCGTCTCGGCACAGTTCCGATCCCCATCAACAAATGCATTTGCTTGCACGGGTTGCCGAGTCGCCGTCGCGTCCCGCCGTCGTGCAGCCGAAAGCGCCTCGCCATCGATGCTATGCTTGCGGCCGCCGGCTAACGGCAACTGCAACTCCACGTACCGACTGTACTGACACGAGGCATGCAAGCAGTTCGGCCATGGGCCATGGCCCATCCAGGTCCAGTCCAGGAGGCGAACGTCCGAGCGAGACGAGGGAGCCCCCGGCCGGCCGTCCCGGCGGCCACATCAACGGAATCGAATCCCCGTGTCCCCAGAACGGAAATAAAGCCCCCGCACACGTCGGCGTCAGATCAAACGTGCGCGCTACTCCACCGCGACCGATAGCGAACGAGACCACAACTGTTCCTCAGTACGTACCAGGCTAGCTATGGCTAACGGGACGGCGACGGTCTGCTTGGAACGGAGCGGAACAACTTCCACAGCACAGGGACGGATCGGTTCTGGTAAGAATTTTGTCACGGATAACAGGCTCAAGCAGCGGCAGTGATTCGTCAATGGGACGTAACGATGCAGGATTAGCTGGGCGACCAGGCGTTGGAGGGGACAGGAGTCTTCACTTGCCTGGGAAGCACCCACGCCCAGGAGGCGGCCGCTGAGCTCAGCTCAGCTGCCACGCACGCCGCCACCAACAACGCCACCACCACCAGTCCGTCCACCAGCGCGACGGCGTGAGCGCGCGAGATTTTGACCGCTCCCCAACCTCCCCAGCGGCCCAGCGCCCAGCCCCCGTTTCCTTCCCCTCCCTTCCCCTGGACGCTCACGCTCCCCCTGCCTTTCGCGGCACTCCACACGCGCGCCGGGGCCGAACGCTCCCACTAACGCCCGGACCACCACCAGTACAGTGGCCCCACGGGTCAGTCAAGCCTACCGTTAGGCGACTCGTACGCCCTCGCGAGGCGCGCTGCGTCTGCCGTCTACGTCTGCGTGCGCGTCCGTCCCTCACCGCCTCCGGCCCTCCGCTTATAACGAGAACAAGCAACAGCTGCAGCAACAAACACGCGCGCCACGGCACGGCAGCCTGACGCGGACGCTAAACACAGGCAGCAGGGAAGGAGAGCGAGCGAGATGAGATCGAGGGTGGCGCTGGAGCCGCTGGCGGAGGAGCCCGGCGGCGGGGAGGAGGAGGCGGCGCGGCGGCGCTCGGGCCTCCACGCGGCGCTGCACCGGTGGGCGCGCCTCCTCTCCGGGGGCGCGGCAGGGGACGACGCCCGACCGGCCGCCGACCTGCGCGGGCTCCTCTCCGTGCTCGCCTGCCCGCTCTCCCCCGTGCCCCTCCTCCCGCGCCTTCCCCGCCACGTACGTGCGCCGCGTCAACAGTCTAAAACCTTCCTCCTCCCGCACCGGCGCTCTAGCTAGCTGGTGCGTGTACGCGGGCGTTTGCTTTGCTTCGAATGATGGGTGCGTGTGTTTGTGGCTGGCCGTACGTGCAGGTGGCGTCGTCGGCGCAGTACATCATCGAGCAGTTCAGAGCCACGACGGGGTGCGGGAAGCTCGAGGACGGCGCCGTCAAGAGCATGTACGCGTCCGGCCGGGTGCGCCTCTCCATGCTGCAGGAGCCCGGCTGCGGCGGGGGATCAGGCGTCATCGGCAGCGGCGGCGGGCGCGGCCACGAGGGGAGCTTCGTGCTGTGGCAGCTCGCGCCCAGCATGTGGCTCCTCGAGATGTCCGTGGCCGGGCAGAGCGTCGCCGCGGGCAGCGACGGCCGCGTCGCCTGGCGCCGCACGCCCTGGCTCGGCGCCCACGCCGCGCGCGGCGGCTCCCGCCCGCTCCGACGCGCGCTCCAGGTTGGCACGCCCGCTCTCTCCCACTCACTGCCACCACCGATCTCTTTGTTTGTTTTTGCATCGTGATGCCATGTTCCTTTTACTTCCGTTCGCCTTTTTTCTCGTCGCTTTGCCGATCGCCATGGCATGCCTCGCATGCACAGCGTTACTGCTGGCTGCTGCTGTGCTAGCTAGCCTGGCCCATGCCTGTCCATGACAGGCGGGCCCCACTGGCGCCATTGCTTGCTTTCCCCCTCTGCTTTCGCATGCCAATCCATGGAATAGCCCCTCCTGCTTTTGCGCACGCCCTTTGGCTTTGCCGTCCATGAGAGAGAAAAAAGTAGAGCAGAAGATCCCTTAAACAACTCGATGCAAATGCGAATGCAATGAAGAATCTTTGTTAAGAAAAAAAGCACCTTGGATGTACATGGCCTCTGCCCTGTACAGTTGTTATCTTGGGATCTGCAGCATGGCACACTGTTGATGTCATGGTTGCCTCATGCCTCATGGTCTGCTCCCATTTCGGGCCTGTTGGCTTGATTTTATCGGCCGGTTTATCCATCAGAATGTATAGTATTTTTTTTTTCACAATAAATTAGTTTCAGTCGGTTTATCAGTCGATTTTAATACCAGCCGAACATGCCCTTCAGCTCTGCAGGAGAGTCCCAAGTCCTAACTGGCTTTGTTTGACCTGGGGAGAAGGCATTAGCAGCAGTAGGTGGTGTGAGATTAGCCTGCCTTTAATTCTGCATCCTGCACATGGTGCTAGAATAAGAATATCCCTGTCTGTGGGCTGCTCTTTTTATAAAGAGCTTCATCAGCCTAGCGTGAGATGTCTGAATGTTTGTTGGTTTCATCACTCTGGGCCTTGGTTCATCATTACGCTTATCCCGATCAACTTGGCAAGTGGACACCTTGTAGTATATAGGTTCATCCTTAGCCTACACTATCAGTACACATATTCTAGTGTGATTATGGGAGGTGACGAAAATACTTTTATGTTTTGGCTAGACAACTTGGCAAGGAGAATATATAAGTCCTCTGTCTACGAAACTTCTCTTATTTTGGAAATATCATGAAACAGTGTTCCTAATCTTCTGAAAGGAAATAAATCCCAGGTTTTGAGCTTCATTTGGTTTGATCGATTAACACTCTGTATGGCTGTCAGTAGGTATCTTTCAGCAAGGCTATAGCAGTAGGAAAATTGGGGGCCGAGGTCATGCTCTGATCCTCAAGATCTTCATGCTTACCGGATCAGACGTTTTTTTTAAATAAATTCTGCATAGCAGATTATATCCGATTGGCCTACACACTAATTTATTGTTCGAGTCGGTTGTTTAGGGTATACCATTAGGCCAATTTGATAATGAGTACAGCTCAAGTGAGCATATGACTTTTGGTGGACTACTTTGAGGAAGCACAGGCACATAATGCCATTAAGTTTCACTAGGTCCTTCAGAATTGGATAACAAATATCCTAGCTATTTCAAAATGTAGTACTCATGCTGGAGGATTGTACGGATGCAGCACATATGTTGAGGCGCTTAGCTGTTTGTACCGTCACAGAGATTTTTAAACAAGGGTGCTTTGTTTAGCAGTACCGCATCATTATATCAGCAGTGTCCTCTGTCCCATGCCAATAAATTATGGTGTACTGACATGTTCTTACCAAAACACTGACGCTGGGAATGCACTGCCAGTTCCCACTTGCTAGCTGTTGCATGTTCCACTGTCCTCTACTCTATGAGAATAGCTGAATGTTCTGAAATTTCCCTCTAGTAGAATAGAATTATCTGATATAAAATTTTAGACTGAAAGCATATGCACTTGGGCTCACTTAGATTACCATTTTCTTGGAGAATCTGATCTGCTCATCTGCATTTCGCTAGCATTGGTGGTCCTAAAAGCACCAAACACAGGCGTGCCAACAAGTCAAGGGGAGGTTTTGATCTGCTCAACTTTGCTGACATATGCATTTTTCATTTGTGGTTTTGTTGCATCCATGATCCATGTGCGTGCACACACATGTACTACTGTCATATTACAAGTTGTCACTGAGCTTGCAAAAACTGTGATCATTTACATGTTCACTGACAGTAGAGTGAATTGGTGATTTGTGCACGCAGGGCCTGGACCCTGTGACGATCGCGTCCATCTTCTCGACGGCCGAGCACGCCGGCGAGAAGGAGGTGGACGGCGAGGACTGCTTCGTGCTGCGCCTGGACGTGGGCCCCTCGGTGCTGTCGAGCTGGAGCGACGGCACCGCGGAGGTGATCCGGCACGGGCTGACGGGCTTCTTCAGCCAGCGCAGCGGCCTCCTGGCGCGGCTGGAGGACTCGCAGCTGACCCGGATCCAGTCCCCCGGCGCGGCCGCCATGTACTGGGAGACCACCATCGCGTCGGCCGTGTCGGACTACCGCGCCGTGGACGGCGGCGTGGCCGTCGCGCACGCGGGCACGTCCACGGCGCACCTCGCCCGGTTCGGCGTCGGCGTCCGCGCCGCGCGCGTGGTGGCGCGGATGGAGGAGTCGTGGACCATCGACGACGTGGCGTTCAACGTGCCGGGGCTCGGCCCGGACGCCTTCATACCGCCGGAGGAGGTCAGGAGGAGCCGGTCCTACGGCGCCGCCATCGGCGGTGGCAAGTGAACTCCACCATGTCAGGGCTCAGGCGGCGTTTGTGTAACATAGTCTGCATAGAGAGAGAGAGAGCTTTGTTAGTAGCTTCGTCTTTGTCTGTCTTCCCTTTGTAATTTTGTGAGTGAGCGTGGCATCGATGGATCGTGCATGTACATATGTATGTATCTGATTCACCCAAAAATAATAATGACAAAATTTCCAAAGCCTCTTTGAAGGCAATGGTCACTTTGGCAAGTTGGTTTGGCAAGTGAGCGGCATTAACATTGGCGTCCGTTTTTGCAGGAACCAACACAGGCGCGTCATGCTTCCCTCCGGCCTCCACTTCAACCCCTGTCCGGTTGCCCTTGTCCTGTGCCGCTGTCCCCTTGCGCCTAGCATCAGCACTTGCGTATGTTTCCAGCGCGATCACGTCACCAAAAGGCTACGCAGGTCTCGCTCCGGGGGCCTGTTCCGGGATGCTGCTTGTCTTCTTCGCGGCATCGGCACGGCAGCAAGGCAACCGAGCTGACCGAGTGACCGGCCGGCCTGTTGCTCGGTCTGCCCTTCCATTTTCGTCCCGGTAATTGGCTTGGCAATGGCAGCTGAGGTAGTGTCACTCTGATGAATCACTGATCGAGTCACATGGTGCGGAAGACTTGAGAGTCTTGAGGTCACATGGGTTACCTCAGGTCTTCAGCGATCTGCTCTGTGCATCGCATCGCAAGGACCACTGCAAGCACAGCACTCCTCGAAATGCTCAAGCGTACCGGCGACCAGAGGCGCCGAATGGTCGCCGCCCAGCACACACTCACTCACGCTATCTACCCATTCGATCATTAGCCGATCTGATCGTGCCAACAGGCAAGACCCGCATGGCTGCGTGCACTGCATTGCTTTACTTGAGCAGGGGACAGTCAGCATACGAACACGTACGTTGCTCATACGGGCAGACAGTCGGCACATGGCGGCCCTTCCAATTGCATGCATGTTCTAGTACTTGTAGTACATCAGCTCTGCCTCGCTCAGGCAAGCGCGAGCGCGACCTAGGACTAGGAGAGGAGACGACGACGGGTGTACCACGCCACTCGTGTCCTCCCTCCCTCCCTCCTCTGGTCCTGCTCATGAGCTCATCCGGTCCCTTGTGGGTCGATCAAATCACATGTCAAAAATGTCCACAGCTTGCAAGTTGTTGCAACAGTTGTTACCTACTGGGCTGCGTACCTCTGTCTCCTTGTGTCGTGCCAAAAGAGCGTCGTCGGCAAGAGATGTTGGAGGTGAAACTGTATCATCTTCAGTGGTATGGTCCCGGTCGAAAAATCTGAGCCGGATGCATGCATATACATGCATGCGATGGCAATGTTGTCGTCTGATCTGATCGAAGGAGCAGTGCCGAGACGCGATCGAACTAGCTAGGCGGGGCGTGCCATGTGCGATCTTTGTTAGTTCTGGTTCTGATCGAGGAGCTAGGATGCGATGTGTGATATGATTCAGGAGAGCGTTGGTCAGTCAGTACTCGGCTACTCTGGGCATGCATTCAGTAGTAGTGACACTATCAAATCAGAGGTGATGTCAACCCGCAATGATTTGGCTAACTAAAACTAGCTAGTTGTAGTAGACAGTATAGCGACTGTATCTAATATTCGTTTCCAACGGAACCAGCAGTGTTCTGCTTGAGAAGTTTGTAGCGTAGTGCAGCAACTCGTGTTGGCTAACTAAAATAGTACATTGCAGTTTTGTACGTAGTAAAGTTTATTGCAAGTGCAATGGATTCTCTCCGTCTCTCTCTGTTTTTTTTTGTTTGGATAAACATATTAGCCAAGTTTAGGAAAAGACTAGTCCGTCACCGTGCTCATGTGCAAATGTAAGTATTATAAGTTACCTTACCTACAACTAATTAAAATCACTTCTCTTTGCGCTATATGGCTTGAGAAGTTTTTTTTTTTTCTAACCCATTACCCATATACCAAAAATACTGTCATTCTAGTTTTTTTCTTTTCAAAAGTCAAATAAGTTTGGCTAAGTTCACAAAGAAATGTTTTTAGAAAAAGAGATATATATATATATATAATTCGCTCTGAAGGACAAGCTAGCTCCAGTCTAGGGCGTTCAACTGTAGTTTTCTTTCAGTTTCAGAACTGGTAATGTCCTCTCTGCAAGTCTGCATTTCTGCTGGCAAACTGTTCCATATAGTAGACATCATCGTACTAACACAAAATCAAAATGGTTTGGTTAGACATGCATGATCACACATTTCTTGATTCCACATATAAAGTAAACCACCTCTATGACCAAAACTGAACCTAACCTTTCGTCGTCATTTAATTAATTAATTAGACACAGAGCAGGAATAATGGCGATTCAGAAAGTGGACGAGGGTTCAGAAATTCAGAGAGCTGGTGGCTTCCCTCTGACCCCCCGAGTGTCCGCCCCAAGAACAAGGATAAACTAGGACGCTCAGAGCAATCCATTTATCCATGCGCTGAGCGCATGTCGTACGGCCTCGCGAGTTTCCAAAGCGTCAGATCGAGACGTCTGAACCAGTAGTAACAATATATATTAGTTTCACGAAAGGATTATGTCTTTCCAACAGATAGAGAGAAGTGTGAGGACTGAGGAGACCTGGTGTGCTCGTCGATAAAACAATTCGGACCTGCTGAGGGGTGAGGGGGCCTCAACCGAAAGCGTGATGCTGCTTAGATCACCCTGAGCTGCTTTTGCTCCGATTGCTGCATGCGCATCTACTGGTTTGGTGATTAGGTAACTGAATAGGAGAAGGAAATTGGATTCGAAGATTCGTAATTGTAGTCTACAGGGACGGCTACCTGCTCTCGATAAACCTCGCGGAGTGATGGGAAAATGGACATGTTTTTTCTTTGACGTGAGATCATTGAAATGTTTGGAACACAGCTTTTGACGAAAAGTTTTGCAAAAAGGCAGTACATTTTTTTTGGCGTTTCCTAGTTTCATTCAAAGGGGTGCTCCACGTCGTGCTCGAATTGGTCCGGACTGACTCCTTGTAGAGCATGCAACAGCCCATTTTCGCTTGTTGCTTGTCAAGCTGTCATGGACAGGCGGGCCTCTCCTGGAGCGCTTACTTCGGCCCATCACGGGTGAGGGGCCAGCCCAAATCTTTCGACTTTCCCCGCCCAGTAGCACCTATATACAGGCCCAAAGCTTTTAAAAAACGTAGAATGTAGTACTCGCGACAATGGCGTTATGAGCCTGCTCTCCCCAAGAGATATTGGAGCATATTTAACATTTTGTGTTTACCTATAAAATTGACTCAACTTTGTATGTGCTTTGATAATGACATTGACAAAGCAATTTTTTTACAGGGTGCCCCTTATAGCATGAAAACTATAGCCATTTTTCTTTTTTTCAAATAGTGCCTTGAAATTCACATTCTATTTTTAGCCTTTTCTTGAAAATTGGCAAAACCAGGAAAATTTAGTACATTCTCACCATAAAAGATTCTAGTGCAAATGTTAAGTAGATTGCTCAATATTGCCATACTTCTTTTAGACGATTCATTAGTATTGCTTCATTGCAGACTTTATTTTAGAGGTTCATCAATAACACTTCTCCTATATTTCAGGTGCCTGAATTTTAAGATGATTTCAGGCAACACTATTATACCATCAACTAGTATATATAAGTAAATTATTACTTTTGTGATTTGTGATTTATCTTTGTGTCATAACATATTAAATTTTTGTCCTTATCTACCTATAGAAATAACTATAAATTATTAATTGTCTTTGTGCCAACGTAAATCAGATTTTGTCAGTTTGGTGGTTTTGTCTAACGAGTTTTTTTATTCTCGGTACCAAAAATTGTAGATTGCACCTGTAGAAATTGCAATGAACGAAATCTACAATTTTAATATAAAATATATACAATAAGCGTCGCCCGAAAGGAAACTAAAATTCGGACACATGAAATTGAGCAAATCCCCATCAATAATGCCTCATTAGCATACTTCATTTTAGGAACTTGATTAAAACTGCCTTAGAAACAGCGCAGTGACCGATCCACTTCAAAGGCGATTCATAATTTCTTACTTCCTATCTTGAGTGGTTTTTGTGTGTATATATGGGTGGGTGGGTGATGCACACATTTGCGGATTTGCCTACACCACTACACCACCCCTTGGACAAATACGTGAAAAAATAGCTTCACAATCTAGATTGCACATGCCATCAAGGATGGCAACGGTGGCCATTGTGTCACTATTAGTTTGCGTTTTGCCGCTTCAACATTAGTCCACTACCAGATTCAGGAGCTTTGTCGCGGCGAAGCCCCAAAAACACTCAGCAAACGACACTCGGCAAGTCCTTTTACGGCAAACGCTAGTTTGCCGAGTGTTTTTTGTCGCAAACATTTTCGGCAAAAAATAAAAAAAAAACAATTGCCACCACCGCCGCCCCGCCACCTCCTCCGCCTCCAAAGGCCCGGATCGCCACCACGCCGCCAAAGACACCCACGCACCACCACCACCACCACCACCACGCCAAAGACTACGAAGCCGCCGCCACGCCGCCCGCCACCACCAGAGCCTAGATCCGCGCCGCCACGCCGGGAAAGGAGGGGCGAGATCCGGGAGAGGCGCGGATCCGGATCAGCGGGGGGAAGGGCGCCGAAGGAGGGGGCCGACGGAAAAGGAAGGGGCCGCCGGGGAAGGAGGGGCCGCCGGGAAAAGGAGGGGGCCGCCGGGGAAGGAGAGGTAGCTCCACCGCGCCACGCCACGCCCCGCCCACAAAGCCATGCCGGCGTGTCGCGCCCGCAACGCCGGTCCACCCCTCCACCACCGCCTGGGGTGCACCGCCGCCGGGCCCCCTCCCTATATCTCGCCCGTTGGGGAGGGAGGGAGGGGCACCGCCACTGGATCTCGCCCGTGGGGAGGCCGTCGAAGAAGAAGGTAGGGAGGGGGGAACCGGGGAAGAAGGGAGGGCGGGAAGAAGAGAGGGCCCGATCCATGGCGTGGAAGAAGGGAGGAGGGGAGGGGAGAGGCCAGATCCGGCCGGGAAGAA